ATTGCAAATATGATGCAGTTTTTCTTCATTTCACTTATTTTTTAGACACGAAGTTTACTTTTAACAAAATCCGACATTATATTTTGTTGAACTTGTGCCATTATTCTAACTATTCTGTCACACTTGAAGTCGGATTCAGGACATTTTCTTCATACTTACTTATACCACTCTTTGTCACATGCACGTGTACTTTAATGTTTTGTTTTGTTTTGTTTTTACTATGAAACTCCTCGTCTTTGCCAGTCCTTTTGAAAAACTATACGATTCGAATGTTTGAATAGTTTGCACATTTATGAACTCATTGCTGTATTTTCTTTATCATCATGGTTCTACTTTTGCTTGCCAATATTCGTCGAAACGCCGTAGAATTTGTAACGGAATTCTATGAATTCCTATTATTGCGTGTCCTTGAAACTCAAAATAGGATGTGGAAAATCAATGTGTAAATATTGCTGTATACATTATCATTTTATTATGCATCCCAAACAGAAACTCCCGAGTTATTTGATTGTGTTCACTAAAATGCAAAAGTCTTGTATTTCTATTCAATTCTTTCTTGCTGACCGGAGGTGCAAATCTGTTACGCTCTTGTTTCTTTGTTTGATTTAAATATTCTTTGTCCTCCATTGGCGTTTCGGTATCAAATTGAGAACATGAATGCAAAATTGCGTGAGTATACTATTATTATATCACGCATGTCATTAAGTAATCGAGTGTTGGGCAACAATATTTTCGATTTATATTTCACTTCTCTTTTTGGGGGTACAAGTCGGTAATTGTACAGGCTCTTACAGGTTTACTACTAAATGTAAACTTACTCGAACACGTGCGATTACCTATACATTATTATTAAACCTTAAAATTGTGTATGTAATCAATCCAACCGCAGTGGCCGGGAAAAGGTTATGCTGGTGCTGCTACGTTATTGTTTTTGATATAGTATGTATGCAGTCACATCTTCTTGAGCAATGACAAATTTACTTTAACAATTTTATGGTAACATCATTATTGTAAAATAAAAATAAAGGGGATATTTTGAGTATCATATTGTGTAAATCTCCATTCAACAGTTCTTTGTTAAATGACTGCGGTTGTTGCCACACGCATGTACCAGATTAGTTAATACAATTTGCTACAATTCAAATGTTCGCGCATTAACAGAAACCGCTTTGAGCGCTGAATAGTGTAAATACCCATATTTTTATGAAATATTTGAATCCACTTCCTGTTCGTGGATTGTTCATTTCAGGCAGATCAATACTCATATGTATCTGCATCATACAATATAGTTATTAAATTTTGATAAGTTATGGGAGTATACATTTGCTGAAAATACAAATCTTGAGGTAATATAGTATGTAGCTGGTAATGCTTCGCAAGCGAGCGCAGATCAGAAAATTTAATGATTCGCCAAAAATAGAACTGACGTAACCATAGAACGTCGAAGCGCGTCGACTGCGGTAATTGAGTTATAAGTTCCCGTGCGAGTTGAACGTGATTCAAGCTGACGGAAAGCAGGGTGTACAATCAAAATACTCGAAACGCTATTAACAATTTTCAGTCAGATGCCAGAAACAGATTTCCTTATTAATTAAAATCATTCTGGCGATGTTTTATCATTAATGAGCTGTTTCGCTTCTCATACTTTGTGAAACAACAATCGAAACGGCGCCGCTCAATTACCGGAAGTGCAATTCTTGCGGTATATAGACTTATTACATATTCCATATTCTATACACTTGTTATTTATAGAGTTCGCTCTGCTTCGTGGATTTCGGTCCTCTCGCTGGCCTCGCTATATTTTACACACTTGTGCAACTCAATACTGTGCCCCAAATCTTAATTAGTTAAGTTTCCCTGCTGCCACCCGACGTGTGTTTATTTTATGTAAACACCTAATCATTTTATTAATCATGTTTGTTTTCACATGTTGTAAACACTCAAACGAAATCCGGTTTGAGACTATTGGCACATCAATGGTAAATACAGAAAAATCAACCACAACCCACAAGAAAACCATCACTATGTTTATTGATAGCCTTTTTGCTACATTATTTTTTATTATACGTGTGTGTGTGTGTGTGTGTGTGTGTGTGTGTGTGTGTGTGTGTGTGTGTGTGTGTGTGTGTGTAGATTAATAAATCCGCTCACAAGTGAGCATAGTTTGTTATAAAACAAATTTTCGAGAAATGTATTTTACATGTGCAGTTTCTCGCTATAGCTCGCCCATAGTCAGTTCAGTATTACTGTTTCTGGTTACCATGATGAACAGTCTGTTGTTTCCAACAGGCATTAACCTCCTAGTGATTACTGACATATGGTTCAATGGAGTTTAGAGATTAGTAGTAGGGAAACAGCTCTCGACAGCTGAATTATACGTAGTGCTATTTCAGTACCAATCCTATATTGAGTATTTGCACTCCCGATGATCACACTCAATAATCACACTGAATTACGCATTTAAAAACAAACGTTTATGTATAATTTTACTGTAGAATAACCATATTAAACTTTTACTTAATGCAGGTCATACAATAGAACACAATACAAGACACATTAAATATGAAATTGTTGTGACAATACAATCAATTCGTGAATGATATGGACGTCACACTGTTATACTCATAATTCCTGAAAACCTTTGATGGAAAACGTGATATTTAAATATAGGAACCACAATTATAATGTTTTCAACATTTTATAACCTGCTATATTATTATAATCGCATACATTATTTACGAGGGCATTACCACATATTTCATATCCCGTTCAAGCCACATAACATGAATCGCGCAGATACGATCGTCCATGTATGAAAAAGGATAATCTCAGTATGTACAGATGGTACAATGAGAAGTGCAGAACGTATGGTTAATAAACCCTATTCAACAAATGCAACGCAGGTTGAAGCAAAGATTTTGAGGAACTCTAGCCGTAGGAGTAGTTATCTTGGCTGCTTGGTTCTATACAACCTTAAGGTAAATAGGCTGACACATTTGACCATTGATTTCTAACTTAATTAGCGAATTTGGAGAGATAAAACGTATGTAGGTATTGACATATATCTCTTTACTGTTTTGTCATGGTTGTATACGTCGAGATGAAAATGAAAACACACATGGACGGCATGTCATATATATGGTGTAAAATTAGCTAATATTCATTTATATATTACACTGAAACAAGTATGTGTCAACTCCTTTTAGAATTCAGCCAATGGTGAATGAGAAACATTTTGTTTGGGTGCTATTATTTAAAAATATATTAATATCGCTAGGTACATAAATACCATTTGTCTGTATATAGTACAACTAGTAACATCGTCGATATTATATTCTGTCTGTGGATTTATAAATTTCTTAACATTATCTCATTTATATTACTTTGACATCTTCTTATGATAAGTTACCCATTATTACGTAATAACAGGGGAATGGTAAGCGACGAGAAACAGTCAAGGAGGTCTATATTTGAACAAACATTTCATGGCATATCCCGCAAGACTGTCGAAAATATACGTACAGTTGTAACTTAAAGGAAAATCATGGCTAACAACGTAATACTCCCAGATAAAAGAGCTCTGCAAATGAAAGAACATTCATTTTTTATATCATTTTCATTCTCTAGATATTCAACTTTTCATCTATTTATGTAGTCCGCCATCTTGATTCTTCAGCAAAGGATTATTGGTAAAGTATGACATCATACAATCTGTTGTCAGAAATTGAGAAAATGATTTCATCTATAACTTCAAAAGTTGAACTACAAATTGGCTGAAAGTTTTGAACATGGTAGAACATGTAGTGGTGCCAGACTTGCGTCTTAAATAGTTGCATGGAAACAGAACTGAAACTATTTATTTTTATGATTTTCTACCAAATGTTCAAATTTCCTTATATTGTATACAATTGACCAATGTGACTAGGTTATATGGGGGATATATTGCCTGTTGACCACTAAAAGGGGACAAAAAAGTGTCATTCTATATTTTACAACCAAAATATTTTTTTAACGTTTTCGGCAATATCGTCACTTTATGTGTATTTGTAACATTTTAATTTCCATTATTATAATTATATATATGAGTAATATTCACAACGCACATTTGAACTAATTCGCATCAGTATTTCTCATGTTATAGATGAAATAATTTTCTCAATTTCTGACAACAGATTCTATGACGTCTTTCTTTACCTTTGCTTGTGAATCAAGATGGCTCACTACATAATACTGATGAAAAGTTGAATATCCAGAGAATGAAAAGTGATATAAAAAAACTGTAAATTGCATTCCCCTACATTCGTGGAGCTTTTTATTGAGGGGTCATTATGTTGTTTGGCTTGATGTTTCCTTTAAGAAGAAAAAAAACTGTTATTTCGTCATTGAATCTTAAATTTATGCATAAAAGTTCGCAAGAAAACAACATGCAAAAACACGCAAATTTCCAGACTGAAATTGCCAGGATTGCTTAACCTGAATGATTAATGTAAGGTTTGTTGCTTAAAAGGTCCGTACACACATTGTATCCTGTATCGCATACAGATATTTTGTTCGTATGTTTGTTCATTGACCTCCAGCAATTCCCTGTTACAAAATAGGGTTGTACGTTGTTCCGACTGACAAATGCACAGTTTCAATATTTGACACATATTATTGTTTTATGAATATAAGACAACAAATTATAACAACAAACAGGTTATAAAAGCCAAACAAATCATATAAAATATAAACAGGTATTATTTAGATTCGTAACAATAACACCAAATACGTAAATAGATGTTTTCAAAAGCGATAATGTGTAGGTGCATTCGCACACTATTTGATGTGAATCAGTATATATCTATCATAACATTTTGCTATATAATGTCATTTTATGCAATTTAAAACTTGAATTTGTTCGAATTTCAGATTTGTATCTAATGTATACACGAGGTAGCACATGCAAGAAGTGGCTTATATATTTGATCCGATTACTTTGCTTGTGTCTACATCTGTGCACGATGAGGCCATTAGCTATCTGTATTGCGCCTGTGATATGTACACTGTCTGTCATGTTGTACCATAGCTATCCCGTTACTGCAATTAAGGAAGTCCTCCCGACAAACAGTAGTATCAATATTAATACACTAAACTTCAAGAAGAATAGAAAAGGAAAGAGTATAATACTAGTTGCCAGCCATAGAACAGGCTCATCATTTACTGGTGAACTACTAAATGCAAACCACGATATATTATACTTGTTTGAACCTCTCAGGTACATAGAAGGAAATGCCAATAAATTCAACCAAATGTCAAATATCTTTCACTGTCAATTCACAAAATCATATATAAATACGATTCGAGATCGGCAAGGTGTACTGAGGTTCAGTCAAGGTCTACGTAATATATTTAAACCAAGGAACAAATTCAAAACTCCGTCTCCGATTGATTTATCACGCATGTGTAACACGTACCCTCACATAGCGATGAAGGTCATCCGTTTGGAGTCCCTACAACAGTTGGAACCGCTAGTATTGGGAGATAAGTTGGATCTGAAGATTTTACACCTTATTCGAGATCCTCGTGGGGTTGCAAGTTCTGAAATGAATATTTTAAAAACCATTTCCAATAACAGTGTGATGTGGAAATTAAAGTCACTAGATCCGATTACAAAGAATTATTGCCAGCGAGCTGTAAACATGCTTGATTTTAGTTATAATCTTCCTGCTTCTCTACAAGGCCGGTATAAACTCATCCGATATGAGGATATTGCTATTGACACTTTTAATTCAACTATAGGTATCTACAACTTTCTGGAACTGCCATTACACCAGTCCGTGTCTAACTGGATTGTCGAAAATACAAAAGCCAGCAACTCTAGCGGTTTTATGATCACAAATAAGAATTCTACTGCAGCATCCGAATCGTGGCGTACGCGACTTCAATTTGAAGACGTTGAAATCATCCAGAACTTATCACCATGTGATGAACTCATGAATATTATGGGATATCATAAATTAGAAAGTCTCAGTCAGATGAACAATATGTCTCTGCGGTCATTTTAGCCATCGTCGAGTTATTAAATAATTTATAAATATTTAATATTATAAATAGGAAACTACCGCACCGATAGTTACAAAATTGAAACAAAACACTTTAAGATCATTGTAGCTGTCCGAACCAAATTGATGTGAGATATTACTGACATAATGGGAGACTGGTTGAACGAATCAACTTCCTTTTTTCGATACATTAATTGTTGATGGTTAAGTATGTTCAAATTAATATGAATGAGATGCTTGAGATACATGGTACAATAGTAACACCGGTAACGTAATGAGTTATGACTGTCCATGAGATATGTGATCTCCTGAACAGATCAAGACAAAACCTCTCTCTATCCATCCTCACACCACGCAGTTATTATTAATTGTGTATCTATATTAGATTACTGGGAATTTAATTTGAACAAATTAATGTGATCACATAACACGGAATAAGTGACATATTTTATATGCAAACACATGAAAGTGAAATGATAATATTATAATGGACTAAAACCTGTAATGTGTATTATATGGGGGGGGGGATACACTGCAAAAGATGTCAAACCATGCACATTATATAAACCAATATTTTCAAAGTCTTATCAAGATGAAGAGATTCCAAAACGTTAAATTAAAAACAGTGATTAAGTTGGCGAAACCATCTTGTCCTCAAGATTGGACTTCTTATATATATATATATAATACTCAAAACAATTTAAGAAACAACTGAGTTTTTACATCACACACGTTTGGACCATGTTAAACGATGTCATGTAACCCCAATATTACCACAATGTTTAAATGTTTTCCCGTACACGTATTGACAGTTACAGCGTCGTGTTTAGATAAAGCATTGCTAATATCTCGTAAAATATTGCCAACTTCAGTCTGCTGACTTCAGTGAATAATAAATTAAAATACTGTTCTGTAATTTAGTGGATGCTGTTCATAACCAGATTCTACGTATTGTATTCTAACATATGCACGTAATTCAATCCTGTGTATGAACTCATAATTCATAAATAATAATTATCAAGTAATAAAGACATCTGATCAATGTTGCATTGAATCTATGTACTTTGTATGTAATACCATTTATGTAATACTGTCTCATACGTTGGGATTCAGAAATAAAATTACTAGTAGTCACAGGTGGGCAAGAGAACATGGAGGCTGAATCATTACTTTACGTCAAGCGGTAGTGACGTTAGGTGCATTCACCACACGTACATTCGAAGGAGAAATCGTAACTAAACCTCTCTATTCACAGTGGCACTCCACTGAAAGTGATGGATTTACCGAGACGCAGCGCATTATCGACGAATCATTAAGGGAAAAGTGCAGGGACTAAGTAGATATTGCAAAAGACTGAAAATAGCTTCAGATGTTGGAAAGTGACAATAACACCTTGTTTTGGATGAGTTTGTTGTCATCTGAATTTTACTTATTGCTTTGTCGAACCATTATTACCTTGATTAGCGTGTAGTTCAGATGGAAAATTCGCGTGAATGCCTTAGCCGATGTGAGCATCTAGGATATACATGATTACACATGTTTTATTTCGAATGAAAAATTTGCTGTTTTTCAATATTATATTTTTAAAAAGTAATATTGTAATTGTTTTGATAAACAGTTCGCAATAAATCATTTTTAACCTGTGTTTTAGGTAGCGAGTGTATTAAATACCACCGTATAGAGAAGTTTTGGGAGTTCATTTGGCATTGGGCATTCCTGTATTTGAACGTGGTATAGGCAAGAGGTATGGTTATTCTTACCAAGTATGTAAAATGTGACATTTTTCTCCATATTTTTTTCTGCCTTTCTGCTGGTTTATTATCAAGCCATTTGTACCGATATTCATACCGATAGACCCTAATGTGTATCTGCATTTCAGAATTAGTCAATTAGGTTGGCAGCCATATTGGATTCTTACTCGATAATTTTCTGATAGTTTAGGCCATCATATTTGTTATGGCATATTTTACAAATCATGTGTAATAGAAATCAGCAGCTTGACAAAAACGTTTGAAACTCTTTTTCTTCACAACCACCACGCACTAATCACTAATGATTGTTGTCTCATGGGCAATCAAATTTAGCAGTGCCGTGATTTTTCCCACAAAGCACGATTGAAAATCCCCTTCTTGAGAATAAACAAACACATTGATCTGAAATTTGTTTTTCCGCTTTCATACGGGAAGCACATCTAAGTTTGAAAAATGTGTTATTGTTGATCACATGGTTTGGCTCTATAGTATGACCAAGTACGAGACAAATAATATAATTTTGACCAATAACGTGATTTTGTCGCCATCTTGGAGGTTTTGCAAAAACATTTGGAATATTTGTTTCTAATAGGTGCTACAACTACAAAAAATAACTAATTAGTACACTACTGATGTTAAATTATGCACAAAACAAAGAGATGTGGATGACCTATTCGCTATTCATGTAACCTCACTAATTATATATAATTCCCTGGGATCTGTTACATATATATTAACTACTAACTTGGTGTTGTGCACATGTGAACATGTACAGATTTGGAAAAAAATATTACTGGTCATAAACACCATTAAATATGCACATATCTATTCTTTGCCCGTTTTGTCATCAAGCCTTCTATAAAAAAAAATGCTCCGTGAAGTGTATCAAATCTCTATACTCATATAATAATACTCATTGATGCATTTGACTTTAACAATTTTGAATAGTCACCTGGTTTGGCAACCATCTTGGATTGAAGTTAAACTGGAATTTTGTTTAACCCTACCTATGTCATGAATAACAACATAGTGATCGTGCGGTGTTCATCATCAATGTTTTATACTGATTTCACGGACAATTTAGATTCTTTTCTGAGATCTTAGGTATTTGCAATATTTTGTTGCAGAGTTTCGCGAATTAAAACTTCAGCGGCCACGTGACATTTTCCTTCCCTTTGTTTTCACTGCAAAACAGCAATACATCGCCTATAGATCCACTGTACACATTGAACTGAAATTTGTGTTTTAGTATCTAGGTGTTGTGAGTGCTTAAACTTATCTTGTGTCTATTGCTTTAATTTCGGAAGCTTCTTCTGTGATCAATGGAGTGTGCATATCTCATTTCAAAAGATGCATTATAGCAAAAATTCTTTACTGAGAGATGCTGTATACATGGATAAATAAGTTTAAATATAAATCGCATGCGTATGCTTGGACAACCGCAATTTATTTGCTGTTCTAGTTATTGATAGCGATGTGGTTTAAAATGTCGCCGTTATCGTTGACATTATATTGTTAAAATAAATTATAGTAATTTTTATAGTCAATGTTTGTGGGGGGGGGGGCTCTTATGATCTGATTGAATGCACATCATAATGAAATACAACATATTTCCAAATTAAAGGCGCTAGCAAAAAAATATAAAATGCTATGCATGTATACTGGATGATAACACACAATAGATACATATGGTTGTGTTCTCTTGTCAACAATTTTAAAAACAACGTCTGATAGCTTATGGTATTTAAAACAAAAATGCAAATTATACAGTGGTGAATCCCCTCCATGCTTTATGACACATTCTACCTGATAACAAAGGAAGAATCATTCACCACAAGCAGATCAAAATTACATCGTAAGTTACGTATATCAAACTTCATTATTCAGATTAAAATTATTTTAATAGATAGAATAAATATAGTTGATATTTAGTCAAACTCATGTATAATTAGACCGCTGCTCCGGGCATGCAATTATTCTATGGTGTTAGAGATTTGAATTTTCGCGTTTTCGTTTTCACATATTCTATACACTATTTTAGAACCGTATACAGCAGGTATGCTATGTAGTGTGACGTACACAGGTAGAGTAACGAGGGCCAATATATTCCATATTTACAGACTGGTGACTTTGTTCACACAACAAATTTGCAGGCAGTGGAAATTCACTAAGTCTACGCCAGAAACAGATAATATTTTTTTAACTTATACTTGAAATGGAATATATTTTATACATAGTAAGTGGAAATACATTCTGGTACAGGAGACTAGTCCCAGGTATACAAGTAATAGAAACTCAATATCCCCTACTTACAGAGGATGGAAATACAGTCCATTAAACCCTGTATATAAATTGGGTTTACAGTAGTTTGTATACAAGCGATATAAATACAGTCTGCTATCCCATAGGAACATGCATTGAAAACAAGGCCACTGTACCCTTTAGGCATAGAGAGGAACCCGGCATCTTACATACAAAATGTTACAATACAAACCAACTTGCGTGTATTACGTATACACTTAGTGGGTAAGCATTCTGGTGTTTAGTGTATAAAATAGTGGCTACTCCTGAATGCATTAAATTTATTCCTGTACACAGGTAGTAGAAACACGGACCGCCATTTGTTATGACAGGTATTGAAAACAATTGTAAGTAATAAATAGTAATAAATATGCTGAATGCGACTAGGCTCCAACGCAACCCAAAAAATAATATTTGTTTCATTATGTGTTGATGGATACTGATATAGTCAGGACGACAGACGAGGGTTTTGTGATATTGCAATTACTATTCTACTCAATACATTACCACTTCAATTGCCTCTTATTTCAATTTTCAATTTAAAATGTTATACATACGTACTGGATGATAATATATGATAGATACATATGGGTGTGTTCTCTTGTCAACAATTTTAGCAACAACGTCTGATTTCTCCTGGTATTTAAAACAAAAATAAAAATTATACAGTGGTAAATCCCCTCCATGCCCTTTGACACATTCTACCTGATAACAAAGGAAGAAGTATTCACCACAAGCAGATCACAATTCATCGTAAGATACGTATATAAAACTTCATTATTCAGATTAATATTATTTTACTAGATAGGATGATTATAGTTGATATTTAGTCAAACTCATGTATAATTAAACCGCTGCTCCTCAGACAAAATTCTGTCATGTCCCGGGCATGCAATTATTCTATGGTGTTAGAGATTTGAATTTTCGCGTTTTCGTTTTCACATATTCTAT